AAATCATTGTGTTCATTTGTCACAATTTCTCCAATCACATTGTAGCCTATTATCGGGTGCTCAATTGTTTCAGTTATAACCAAAAATGGCACGTGCACCTGAGTGTTCTTTGAAGACAAGGTAAATGCTAATTCAACCCAACCAATATATGGTATAACACTACCATTTGCTGCTGTGAGTTTTAGGTCAGTCTCGACAAGTTCCGACAAACTTCTTATTTGTTTTATTGGGTGATTTTGTCTCAAAAATCTTTCTGAAACCATAGACACTTGGGCCCTTGTGTCCCAAAGCACATTAACTTCTTTATTATCTAATTTCCCCAATACTATGCATTTTCTACCAATTATCTGTACCAGTTTATTCTGTTGACTTGGAGTCAGGTGGGTTGCAAAGAATTCCAAGTCTGTATTGTCTTTCATATCCTTGTGATTAATGCTTTGCAAGGCAACACATGTTGGTTTGTGATCATGCCAATGTTTCCTTCGACATTCCCGGTCACAAGAATAAACAGCTTTGCATTGTTTACAACAAAGGATAGTGTCATGTACTTGGAGTTTTTTGCAAAACGCACATTGAGGGGACGTTTGTTCTATGTTCTTGGCCATCTCCTGTCCCTCGGAAATGCCCCCTGTTCGTTTTTCGCCTTCCTTTGTGGGCAGTGACTGGCTAAATGTCCAGCCTGACAGCAAATAAAACAATGTCTGCAAGTATTTCCATTGTTTTCTCTCCTACATTTGGGGCAACCCCGTGGATATCTTGGCTGGAACGGTGCATTAGTCTTAGACACCTGTTCCTCAACCTTTGCTGTAAGGGAACTTAATTCAGACTTTATTCCCTTGATCTCTGCGAGGAGGTCCTGTTTTTCACTAGCTTCTGGGGAAGTCCCCTTTTTCCCTTTTGCCCCCTCAACAGAACTCACCTTGGGACTTTTCGCAGACAGCCTCTCTGTTAAACCAAGCTTGTTTTCTCTCTCGGTCTTTTGGGAGGCAAGTTCATTAATGCTTCGCATAAGTTCCTCATCAGACACCCCGTCCTTTCGCAGAATTAGTCGTAAGCTAGTTGTCAGATACTCATCACGAACTCCAGTTTCTAAAGCTTTCAGAAAAGTATTCTGGATTAACTGGCTACCATAGTTGAAATCTGCTTCCTTACTAGCAAAAACAACTATATTTCTTGCATCCATAATTCTTAACAAGAACTGTTGCACACTTTCTTTGGGTTTCTGGCACATTGTAGTTAGTTGCTGGTACAATTCCGAAGCTGTCTTTTCGCAATAATGGATCCTTAAGATCTTTTGTAGTTGGGGAAGACCAAGGTCTGGCATTGTCTCAATGTAACTACGGAGGCTTGTGTGTGGTGAAATAGCTCGGATTACTGCATCGACAATTTCATCCTCAGTGTATTTTCGTTTGAGCCCTGATTCAATCTGGTGATTGAGAGAGATATATGTCAGTTTTTCTGCTTGTCCTGGGTCTCCAATTTGCCCCGATATCTTAAAGTCTCTTCTCAACAATGCCCGGGTACTTGAAGGCACTTCAATCACTGATGCGTTTTCACTACTGATTACTTTGACTTTGGCAGATTTATCATTAACTCCAATTTCCAATTTATCTATCTTCGCTTGCATTTCTAACAATTGTTTCTCTTGTTGGCTTTTTAACTGTTCATATTCCTGTTGCAACTTTGACAATTCTCATTTACTGGCGCTAATTCAGGACAGCCACCAAGCGTTAAAAAAACATCGCTCAAAAGTTGATTTTTCGCCGTCGGGCTTTCAATTCCTTCGACAATTTCTTGAAGCCATCTCCGTACTAAATTTATGACTTGACCCCTCGACTTTTCCTTCAATTCTTCGATCTTTTCATATTTTAACTTCTCGGCCGCTTGCAATAACACATCCACATCGTTCTTATAAAGTAACTCTTCCACTTTTAGTTGTAATTTCTCGAGATTCTCCATAGTATAAACAAATACAGCAGAGTCAAAACCCTTTCGTATCGTCTTACATAATGTCGCTTATATTTCCACCAAAATCGGCTTTAATTCCATCCTTAAACCAGTTGGCAGCCCCACGTTGGGCGCCAAAATGTTACTCCTATTTCCCTTCACATATGTAACATAACGATTGCAAAAGATATATATTTTATTACTAACAAAATGTGAACTATATAAACTCTCGTTTTACATGTGCTCGAAGCAACTATATTTATCTATATTGTCCCGCGAGTGTCCCACGCGTGATTCTTGCGTAATCATACAACTAAGGGCAGGGGCCCTACACTCCGAAATAAATCCCATGTCCTCGACCTGCAGTAACGGGCTTAATTCAGTGACAAGAGACAGCACACGGTTCTTAAAACTGTTTATTTTACCGATAAATAACTTTTTTTTTATTGACTGGGATTTAAATAACTCGGATTGGGATTTCTAATAAAAATCCAACTGGGACTGGGATTTTACCAACATTTCAGGTGAGAAATGGGATTGCGACCCCCACTTCAGGACCCTCCTTCAACCGTACCGTACCGAAACGTACTGGTGAGCATGCGCAGATTGAAAAGAGGTTTATAAATCCACGTACTTCCGGGAACTTCCGGGTGTATTCGCGTATCAAAATCAAAAGTTCGTCGCAAGTCAACTTTTAGGCGTACTATACGGAAGTATAACCAATCTACATTCACGAAATTTTGAAATTTAAAAAATGTTTTTGATACGTTTCGGTACGGTACGCTTGAAGTGGAAAACTGGCTTTACTATCGTCATCAGTAAGCCGGCACAAACTTCGTCTAAAACGTGGATGTTTTCTTAATGACCTTTGTAATGTAGTTTAAACCAAAATGACAACAGTTTATTGCAGAATACGACCTACGCCTGACCTACCTCCCATATTTGAGCTGGATTTCATTTTAGAGTATAGATGTTAATTTTCTTCCATTTCTGACGAATAAATGCAAAACATTTTACCATTTTTAGTTTTTTCGTGGTTCTTGTTATTTATCTTGTGGCTGGAGTATTATTTATGAAGTATAAAAGAGGAGCGACTGGCAAAGAAGTTATACCAAATGTTGAGTTCTGGTCATCTCTTCCAGGATTGATTAAAGTAGGTGGAGGGTTTTTTTAATGACGACAATATTGTCTATAATATTGTCTAATAATATTGTTATACGAGTTCACGACAACCAGGTGTAAAACCCCGCGTATAAGAACCTAGACTTTTCAAGTTAGCCTAAACAGGTTCTTATATAAGTTGTGCTTATCGCGAAATTAGGCTAAACAGGTTCTTAAGGTGGCTCAATGTAGTTTTTAAAAAAATGGAAAATTCACGATTTAGATGCGTAGTTTTGGACAATTACTACTTGTTGGTAAACAAAAATTACCATACTTATATAAAATAACATCTAAAGAGTTTGAATTTTTGCACAAAAGCTACGTAACTGGCGTTGCTATGGCAACAATGACGTTTCAAGATGGCGGATATTTTGGCTTTAAAGTAATTTAACTCGTAAACGACATCGGTGACCCCCAAATTTTATTTTAAAAAATTATTTCTCTTAGTATAATCAATTCTTTTGAGAATTTTAAAAAAATTCTGTGGAGCCAAAAAAAAATATTATGAATAATCACCTTTACGTAATTTTAAAAATTTTGGCTCCACAGAATTTTTTTTAAATGGTCAAAAAAATTGATTATATTACTGTCGTTCCAATTGAAGTGTTGCTCAAATATTGATTCAATACATTACCTCGGGCTGACCAATTCATTTCATCAAGTTCCTCGAAATATTCATACACTTCCTAGTATAATTGTAAACTTCCTGTTCAATAGTTTGAATGCACCAATCACCTTTGTCGTTTGTGCAACTAACCAATCATAAATAGAAAGGAAGTGACCAGAAATGATCAAATACTTGGAATTGGCTCTTTCACAGGAAGTGTATGAATATCTCGAGGAACTTGATCAAATGAATTGGTCAGCCCGAGGTAATGTATTGAATCAATATTTGAGCAACACTTCAATTGGAACGACAGTAAGAGAAATCTTTTTTTAAATAAAATTTGGGAAGTCACCATGTCGTTTACCACTTAAATCACTTTAAAGTCAAAATATCCGCCATCTTGAAACGTCATTGTTGCCACAGCAACGCCTGTTGCGTAACTTTTTTGCAAAAATTCAAACTCTTTAGATGTTGTTTTATATAAGTAAGGTACTTTTTGATTATCAATAAGTAATAATTGTCCAAAAATACGCATCTAAATCGTGAATTTTCCATTTTTTTAAAAACTGTATTGAGCCACCTTAAATAGGTTCTTATTTTCTAAAGAAAGAGCGACTCATTTTCGGTTGGTGTAGGCATGGATAATAAAATAAATGGATAGGAAACTAGCTGACGTGACAAGACTTTCAATGGGCTGATGGCGTGGTTGGATGTTCAAACCTAGTTGTAAACCAAATTCTCAAAAACGGCATGTTTAGCAATAATACAGCTAAACATTTTAGTCAAAGAGCAAATAAATATAACCACGCCATTCTACGATGAAAACTCTATGTATTCCCAGTCAATTTTAGCAAATATTTCAAGCACTAAACAGTGAAAAATACATCGCAAATTTCGTTAAAATTTGTGACGCCAATTTCGTAGCTACAAATGTAAAAAAATACAAAACAAAGACGAAAAACATTTACCTTGAATACTTTGTCGTGGCTTAGGCATGTTTTTAAAACAATTAGACCAGTTTATGCTTCAATATCACCTTTTTAAAGTGGAAAATATAGCAAAACAACAAAAATGCCAAGAACTTTGGTAATATTCGCAATACGCGTGACGTCACGTTTTTCAACAAGGGTGAGTCAATGACGTCAGGAAGTTTCCTATCCAGTTATTTTACAATCCATGGTGTAGGTACAGTTATTTTTGTTGATAGGATGATAGATAATAGGGTAGTTTCGAGTGCAATTTGGATAAAAACATGCACGAGTAAGTATTTCAAAGAGCATGAAAATAGCACGGGTCCGAAGGACGAGTGCTATTTGAGGTCTTTGAAAAACTCACGAGTGCTTGTTTTATCCAAATTTCACAAGAAACCATCATGTTACGTATTAATAATATACATAAAAATGTTCGAGACAATTGTAGTTTTGACTTACGTTTATAACGAACCGTCCACCGGCAAAGTTTTCCTGGCTTTGTTATATCACATTATACAACGCTAACAGCTTGAAAATTCCACTCAACTATGTAAGTTTTGTTAGTCTCGTTGAGGGTAAAGGCTTTTCCATTTAAAAATTAAAGATAAAAGTCATATTTTCCAACCATGTTTGTAAGCAATCTGTGACTGTTGCTTGAGAACTGCTTTAAACTTATTGGTTGATTTTATCATAACATTGCTTTTTCCATCAATCAAATCAGTTTGTTACAGATTTTTGCACTGTGATTACTGAAAATTGCACTGTGATTACAAAAAAATTGCACTGTGATTACAGAAAATTGCACTGTGATTACAAAAAATTGCACTGTGATTACAGAAAATTGCACTGCATGTGATTACAGAAAATTGCACTGCTGTTTGGGATTAACTGCACTGAAATCAACCAATCACAGTCGAGTAATATTTTTCATGTATATTATTATGACATATTCAGGATTCTGACTTCTGCATGGGTCATTTTTAGTGTAAAGTTTCACTTTACACTATTGTGATGGTGGCGAAAATTCACACTTATCATTCATTCAGTCAGTCAGTCAGTCAGTCAGTCAGTCAGTCAGTCAGTCAGTCAGTCAGTCAGTCAGTCAGTCAGTCAGTCAGTCAGTCAGTCAGTCAGTCAGTCAGTCAGTCAGTCAGTCAGTCAGTCAGTCAGTCAGTCAGTCAGTCAGTCAGTCAGTCAGTCAGTCAGTCAGTCAGTCAGTCAGTCAGTCAGTCAGTCAGTCAGTCAGTCAGTTTTAAATCTTTATTGCCTCCAATTTCTGAAGAGTAGGTATATTTACAAAGGAAGTATTAATAATAAAATAAAGATAGTGAAAAAACTAACTATTGTTACCTAACTAGCTAACTAAATTACTCCTATAACAAAAGGAAACATAACTTGCAGATTTCAGCAATAGCTCCGTCCATATGTCTGTGTTTGCACATAATGCTTCTAACTTTTTACCTAATATAACTAAGAGAAATTCCATGTCTGTCAAACTTGCTAAATGTACTGCCATTTCGAATGGCATAGTATCGTTTATCCATTCCCATAGTTCTTCTCTTAATTGGCTTGTGCCATTACAATAAAGTAATGCATGCTTTACAGGATTTAAGAAATTGCTATTACAAACATTACAATAGTCTCTATAAGTTTCTGGTTTGTTCACTCGTTTTCCTTTAATTTTGTAAGATCCACAGAGTAGTCTTAGAACATCATTAATTTCTTTCATAAAGTCCGGTTTCATTCTAGCTAATAACCACCATGGTGAAATTTCAATCACAGGATGAACTTCTGCATAAAGTTTTAGTTGACCATGCGTACTTATTTTTTCTTGCCAGATATTGTTATAGTACTCGTATATATGTTTTTTAACAATTTTCTTTCATGCAGATTTGCTTGGAAATTGATCGGATAAAATATACCCTGTTAGAAAGTCCATGAGATCATATTTCAAAAGAATTCGTACAATATTTGGAATGAATCCTTTTAAGGTGTTTGTATGGTTCCACTTCCAACGTATTAATCTCATGAGGAAGATCTTTCTGCACGGAACACCATGACTCATTAGTATAAGTCGTCCCAGAAAATACAATTTCCGTTTATAGACTTCAGCTTCGATTGGTGGTAAGCCCAGCAACCCTCTCGCAGCAGACCCTGATATTCCAGGTAATAACCCCTGTATAATACGCACCGTAGTATTTTGCACTTTTTCCAGTTCAACAATGTCATTACAATTCAATTGCCAGAGCTCGGAACCGTACAACATCTTTGGGATACCAATCCGCTTCCATAACTGAACTGAGATTATAGGATTTAATCCTCCATATCGAGCTCCCATTTTCATTAAAACCATTCCGGATTCTCTTCCTCTGGTAACAGCCTTGGAAACGAATGCAGACGAATCCTTATTTACATGCCATATTTTTCCAAGATTGAACCAACATTCCTTTTCCAAAATAACTCGTGACCCAAGATGCCAATCTCTAATGCTGCGATTTACACTACGTTCCCGATAGCTTTCACCAAACGTTAAAACTACCGTTTTCGTAGCATTAAATGTAAATCTCCATTTGTTACTGTATTCCGAAGCACATCGTAACATTTTGTCCAGTCCAGATTTCATACGTGATAGCATAGTTAGATCGTCCGCAAACATGGGTGATCCGAAATACACGGTGTTGATGCAAATTCCAGATTTAATGTTGCTCAATTCCTCGATAAGGTTGTCTATGAATACCAGGAAAAGCCAGGGTGATAGAACCCCACCTTGTCTTGTACCTTGCCCTAGCTCGTATATACGAGATGATTTTCCTT